TAGACTTTTGCAATGAAACTTGCAATGAGGCAAGAAAAAGCTGACAAATATGCTTAACTTGTGGTGACCATCTGCACCTACTTGATAAGAGAAAGGAGGAAGCATCAGAACTCCCTTTCCAGGAGTTAAAAGTTAAAGGAAGCTGGTGAGCATGTTCAAGTCACGGTGACCACCTGGGTCCACTTGATGAGTGAAAGTGGGAGACACGCATAATGAAAAGACAGAGGAGTTCCTTCAGTGCTGCCCACCTAGCTTGATGAATGGATAAATGAAGAAGGGTTACCGGTTTGTGGAGCAGGGATGTGCTGACTTGGCCCATGTGGAATTGAAGTGAGAGGACTAGCCAGTCTGAAATACAGGAAGGAGTTTGAACTCTTGAGTTTGTGCCTGATGCCCATTCTGACCTAGTCACGAATGGCTGGGTACATGCTGACCAGAATCCAACTAGATGAAGGGAACATGTTTTGTTCTATGAGCTAGTATTGACTTCTGTGACTCAATGGTTTGCTCTGGACTAGACCTTTTTTTATACAAATTCAACTGTAGCAAAAAAAATTTTTTGGTGAAAAAGACATGCTTGTTTCCTCAGAGTACTCGTTTCATAAGACTGGGCAAATTAAAAATTGGCTATCTTAAAATGAGAGGAAGTGAAGCAGCTGGCTTACTATTTCCCTAAATATAGATGGCGGTGAAAGGAAAGCTGATCCTTCAGAAATTGAGAAATAATGGTTAAGAAAAACCAGAGGATGTGGTATTTGTCTAAAAGTTGGTATTTTTAGCCATTACAGGTAGCCCCCTCTGGTCTTCAACTACCTTAACTATAGACATATAGTCTTACAAATCATCAACAGGTGTGGGATTAGGATAAGACAAAGTGTGTGTTTACACTCACAGGGTTGCAAGACTTGTGGCAAGAATTGATGGAGACGGAGCAGACCATGTTGGCGAGACCCTGGTGACGGTGTTGGAGAGACTGTTACATTGCTGTGGACAAACTGCGGCAAGGTATAAGCAGAGGAGCCCTGAGATAAAGGCCACACAGTTAAAAGTGTCTGCTCTTCTTGCCAGATGCTTCAAGGAGAAACTGACTTGTAACTTGCTGGATGATTGCTTGCTTGGAGGCAAACCTTGCTGGATGATTTGGATTTGACTGCTGACCTGAAGCCAGAGCCTGGACTAATTATTGTGCCTTGGAACTTGGACTAAAATCTGGACTTGTATGGGGTGACATTCTCTGCTTCCCCTACTCTCCAACTTTCTTCCCTAATAAACCCCATTGTTGGTATTACAATTGTGAGTCAGCAATGAATAAATTGTGCTGCTATGACGGCTCTAGAGGCACCATGGGGCTGGGCTTTATGTCTTCATCTGCTTTCTCTTCTGAGGCAGTGAGGGCCCTTTCAGAGAGATTCTTATGGCCTTGTGCCCCCATGTACTGATTTTTGTTTTTTAGACACCAGGAAACCCCAGAGACACATGAAAAGAAACTACATTACCCTGCTGCTCATCACTGCCTACCCTCTCTCTCCCAATTCATAGCCCAGGTATGGTGAGCTTAAAAGAGACAAGATCAAAGTGTACATCAAATGTGTACACTGAGTTTGAGGCACAAATCCTAGACCCAGAATTCTACTGTGTGGGACACTGTTATAAAGGCACCACTAAAAAGTTAAATCAAAAGAAAATTTTTTTTCACTTTAATTTTCTCTCTGGAATACTAAGTGCGCTGACCATTACAGAAATAAAGGGAAATAATTACATTAATATGCTGTTGTAGTCAGGTCCCAACAAGTCCATTATGGCTCTAAGTGACCCTATTAACAACAGAACTTTGCCCTAACCTCCTGCAGCATCTTCGCCAGCTCTGATATGCACATTGTTAGTCACTGTTATCAATCCAATTGAGGGTCTTCGCTTTTTCTGCTCTTAATACAGGCCCTAATTAGGCCATGAACTCAGGACATCTTGGTTTTTGTTTTCTTTTTTTGGAAGGGGCACCTGGATTTGAATAAGTTATTGTTAAATGATATGAAATCAATTACTACTTGCACTGCCCTCAGAACAAAAGATCAGAAATTTGCCCTATCCTGTGCTACCCTCATGGTCTCGGACATGCTTGAGCTCACTGTTAAAATCATTGTGTTAATTCATCTTGTTAAAGGTCTACCTTTCTTTGGCCAACTCTCTACCATGATGTGCTTTTCCAAGGACTGGGAAGTCTTGACAAAATTCCCAAAGTATGTGAGAAGACGTTTCATCATCTTTGCCTGCAAGGAACACTCTGTCTGGCACCTTCTCTAAGACATATGTTTGTTCTTTTGGCAGTCCATGGGATGGATGTCCAGTCCTCCAACACCACAGCGGAAAGGTCATCTTTATTAACTGTTCAGCTCTGATACATTCCAAGTGACTGAAAAGACAGGCCTGAATCAGTAGCACGTTAGTTCCCAAACTGATGTCACTGGTCCTCCAGAATTTGGAAAGGTCCCTGACTACAAATGTCCCCAGTGCAATATGTCTCCCGATTTCCTCACTGGTTGTACCAAGTGCACTGATTGTGGATCCAAGTTAGATGAAGTTGTTGATAATTTCAATCTTTTCCCCATCTATCAAGAAGTTGTCTATTGGTCATCCAGTGGCAAGGATTTTTGTTTTCATGATGTTGAGATGCAATCCATATTGAAGGCTGCAGTGTTTAACCTTCTGCAGGAAGTACTTTTAAGTCCTCATTTTCAGCAAGGAAGGTTATGTCATCTGCATAATGAAGGTTATTTATGAGTCTTCCACCAATCCTGATGCCACATTCTTCTTCAGAGTCCAGTTTCTTGAATAATTTGCTCATCATACAGATTAAATAGGTATGGAGAAAGGATACAAGCCTGGAGCACACATTTGTTGATTTTAAACCATGTAGTATTCTCTTGCTCTATAACCTCTTGGTCAAGGTTGATCAAAAAGAATTACCCAATTTTTTATGCTCAATAATTTATCACAACATGGACCTCACCAGATGGACTGCATCTCAGACTGACTACATCTGTGGAATGAATTGTTGGAGAAGCTCATTATCAGGAGTCAAAAGTAGACCAGATGTTGACTGTGGGAGATTATTAATTATGTGCAAACTCAAATTAAAGATGAAGAAAATGAAAACAAGTCAACCCAAAAAATACTAAGTTTTTTTCACCTGAATTTAAAAATCATCTTAATGGGTTTAAAACACTTAGAACCAATGATCACAACCAAATAAGTTGTGAGAGAACATCTAGGCTATCTATCACCTATGAAGAGAGCAAAAGGTCACACACACACACACACACACACACACACACACACACACACAAGAGGAAGTGTCTAAACAGAGGAAAACGGTACACAGAGGCAAAGGGCTATAAGCACATGATCATCTCTCTGAAAAGATCACAGGGAGTAAGAACAGATCAGCTCCTAACTGCCCCAGAGGGGAAAGCAGATAAGGAGCCCGCAGTCTAGCCCCATGGTGCCTCTAGAGCCCTGGTAGCAGAGGTCTGTTTATTCGTTATTGACTCTCGGATTCACGATATGGTACCAACAATGGAGTTTATTAGAGAAGTAAATAGGGGAGGAAAAGACTGTCTCACAATACAAGTCCAGGCTAGTTCCAAGGCACCATTCCTTAACAAGTACAGGTTCTGATTTCAGTTCAGCAGTCAAATTCAAATCATCTAGCAAGATTTGCTTTGGAGTAATTACAACCAAATCATCCAGCAAGGTTTGCCTCAGAACAGTTATAGGTCAGCTTCTCCTTCAATCATGCAGCAAGAGCCAAACCTTTAACTGTAGCCAGCAGAACTGCGAACCTTTAGGTCACATTTTGCCACTATTTGTCCACAGCAATGCCACACTCTCTCCACCACCAGGATCTTGGCTGTCATAAGCCTTGTTCCCCTCAAGTCTTGCTGCCCAGTACGGGAAGCATTCTTTTTCTTATCATCGGCCCACGGGTGTTGGTGATTTGCAAGACCAGTGACAAAAGCTGAAGATCAGAGGTGGCTGGCTATAAAGGCTTTAAAAAAAAAAAAAAAGGCAAGCCAACTTTTAGGCTAATACCACAGGAAGAGATTCTGAAGCATAAGAGCTGAACAGATTTCAAAAGGCAACTTGGGAAGACAAGGTAAACCACTATTACAAAACGTGCAGAAAGCCAGAACTGGAAAGAACTAGCTTAACATTTCTCAAGCTGAATTTAAGTCTTAAGTTGCAATACTAAGAGATGCTATGAGTAAAATCTTGAATGATCCAAGAAACATCGAGATGGAGGGAATATACAGAATCCCTGTAGTAAAAAGAACTGTCTGACACTAAGCATTTTAGGAAGTATCATATAAGAAAGAGCCACTAGTAATGAAGGAAGAAGTTCAAGCTACACTGAAGGCCATGGCAAAAAGTAACCCCTTAAGAATCGATGGGATACTGATATATTAATGACAGATCTTAACATGCTCACCAGTCTCTACCCGGAAATTTGGAGGACAGTTGCCTGGCTGGCTGACTGGAAGAAATTAGTATGTGTTACTATTCCCAAGAAAGGTGATCTAACATAATGTGGAAATTATCATTACTATCACATAGAAACAAAATACTGCTCAAGATCATACAAAAATAGCTAGAATAGTACATAGAGAACTGTCAGACATTCAAGTTGAACTCAGAAGAGGCCATGGCCCCAGGGATTTAACAGCTGATGTCAGTCCATCCTGGCTGAAAGCGAAGAACACAAGAAGAAGAATGTCTACTCGTGCATTAATGACTGTGCAGAGGCATTTCACAGTGTGGATCATAATCAATTATGGCTAAATTAAAAGAATGGGAATCCCAGAACTTCAAAAGCCAGAATAATTTATAATTAACCTAAGGGGGTGAGGGGATGGTGTGCATGTGTGCATACAATCCACCCCAAGAATTCTCGCCTTAGTTTCAATGTCTAAAGGGTACTAATCCAAACCAAAACTAGCCCATACCTGTCTTAGCTTTTCCTTATGCTTTTCAGCTTGCACATTTAATTCTTCTTGCATTTTCATACGAGCAGCTGCTAAAGCTTCTTGTTGCTTAACAACAGTATCAGGTTCTAAAATTCCGGAAAAAATTCATTAAATATATACACACACATATGCAAACAAACTTTTGAGTGCATTATCAGAAGTATTAAAAAAATAGTTTAATTTTTTTTAAAAAGAGAGGCTTCAACATGAATACCATTATCACCTCCGCACATATTTTACTATTTAAGGGAACAAGAGACTATCTCATAGTCATCATTCTTGGGTTAAAGTAAGAAACATCTGTTGTTGTTGTGTACCACAGAGTTGGAAACGACCCATAGGTGACCCTCAGCCGGGTTTTCAGAGGCAATGATCAAACAGGCACTGCTGTTGTTGTTTTGTTCCATAGAGTCATAACCAACCCATAGATGGCCCTCCAGTTTTCAGAGGCAGTTAATCACACAGGAGGAAAATACCCATCTTTCTCCCATGGAGCAGCTGGTGGCCTTTGGGACTGCAGTGCAGCTTTTTGCCACCAGAGCTTCCTATACTACATGCCTCTGGAAATGCTATGAACTTTGACAAAAGTTGATAGTTGTCAAGGGGCTTCAGGCCTTTTGTTCATAGGGTTGCTGAGTTGTCCTAGACATGACAGCAATCAACAACACACAACACAAACTGGAGGAGACTGTCCGTTCTCCCACAGAACAGTTGGTGGCCTCAAAACACCTTTGGGATCGCAGAGCAGCTTCCTGCCAATATGCCACGAGAACTCAAGGACCACCTGTTGGAAATGCAGATTTCTAGGTTCTTCCAAGCTATTTCAAAAGAAAATCTGGGATAACGATTAAAGGCAACCTGTGAGATTTGATCCCATACTCTAGATACCTTAATAACAACAACCTGTATCCAGGTTAACCACAGCACTAGACCTATAAAAAGCTACAATTTTGCTGGGTAACAATCCATCACATAATAAGCCCAGACCTGTATCAGAAAAAAATAGATTCTTCAGTAATATATTCATTATTTTGCAAAGAAAGCAGAAAATTCCTTTTACTATTAAGAATAAACTTAAGTGCTCTCTCAGGTCCTTGCTTCCAACATGACAAAAAAAAAAGCAGAAACAACGTTTGTGCCAAAAAGGTGCACGGCCACGTGCAGCCTATTCACTGCACGAACTGCACCTGGTGTGTGCCCAAAGACAAGGCAATTAAGAAGTCTGTAATTCAGAATATAGTAGAGGCAGCTGCCGTCAGGGCCATTTCTGAAGTGTCTTCGATGCATATGTGCTTCCAAAGCTCTATGCGAAACTGCACTACTGTGTGAGTTGTGCCATTCACAGCAAGGTGGTGAGGGACCATTCTCATAATGCCCAGAAGGACCGAACACCTCCACCTAGATTTAGACCTGCAGATGCTGCCACATGACCACCACCAAAGCCCATGTAAAGACTTGATTCCTTAAAGGCTGAAGAAAAAACTCATATGAAAATAAAATGGAAATTATACTTTTAAAAAGTGTCCCAGCTTTACCAGGTATTTTTTTCTTGTTTGTAAAACTAAACAGACTTAATAATCTCTGTAAAGTTCTCCAACTGTTCATCTATTCTGACGGTTGCACCACAGGGGGCAATGAAACAGAATGTGACACTTTTTAAACAAGGAAACAAACTATAGACTCACTGACATTAAGTTAGAATCAACTCATAGCTGACCCTCCGGCAGCTTTTCAAAGGCTGTAAATCACAGGGAAGGAGACTGACTGCCCTTCTCTCCCCTGCGGAGCAGTTGATGGATTTGAACTGCTTGCCTTTCAGTTAATTGCACAATTATCTACCCATTAGGCCACCAGATCTTCCTGGGGGAAAAAACACCTTACACGATCACTTCAGTAGCTTCCTAAATATCTATCATAAAATCTACAAGTATTTGTTGCTGTTAGGTGCCACTGAGTACAACTCAGAACCACACTATGAACAGAGCCTGTTCATCATCCCAGATATACTTGAACCTATACATACTTGGACGTAGTCATGTGTTAATCCACCTTGTTGAAGGTCTTCCTCTTTCGCTGACCCTCGACCTTTCCAAGCATAACTCTTTCCAAGGAATTTCCTAACAACGTCCAAAGTATTTAAGACAAAGCTTCATCATCCTTACCTCCAAGAAGCTGAATGCACTTTCTCCTACACATATTAAAACAGGATCCAAACTATTACCATCAAAGTAACACATGTGTTTTGTTGTTTAAAAAAAGGCCAGGTGTACTTAAGATTATGGCTCTTGTTAGGTACCCTTCAAGCTTTGAACAAAACTCACTCTCATATAGACAGGTCTAGAGTGAACAGTAGCGAGCTCTGGTTGCCTAGTGATAAAACTGCACTGCAATCTGAAATGCACATAGTTCAAATCCACCAGCTGCTCTGTGGGAAAAGGACAGGCAAACGCGCCAAACAACGCGGTGACCAGTGACCAGGGAAACACTTAGACCAATCAACCAACCAGAGGTCAAAAGAGCAGCAGGTTCCCAGGAACAAGGCCCTGAAAATAGGAACATACAGAATAGGTGGATTAATGAAAGCAAGAATCATAAGGAAAGTAGGGAAAATTAGTGATATTATGGGTAATTAATATTACAAAGCAAAATGTGTGTGAAGTGTGAATGAACAAAAAAACAATTAGCTTTGTAAATTTTCACTCAAATCACAATTATTTTAAAAAACTTTAAAGTATAAACACAAATGAAAAGTTTTTCACTGTTAGGCCACTCTTACAATAAAATCAATTAAGTTTTTTATCCATTTTAAAAACAATACAAAAGCTCAACTTCTTGCAGTGCCTCAATTTCTGTAATACTCAAAGACCCTATCAATGCTGCCAAAAAGTCTCTCACCATCAAAAAGGATTTCTTTGTCCTTTCGAATTTCCACCCTTTCATCAACTTTATAAATTTCATCTCTCGATGGCATCTGTCAGAAAAACACTCCACAAGAGAAACACTACAAACCACCTGGCAGGTCTTCCACCTCCTTCAAAGCTCTGAAATTCTACTGCACATTCCAAATGCATGAAATGACGTGCCTGAGACAAATGAGAGTCACCCTTCGCATTCTTAACTATGGTGCTGTGAACTGACCCACAGATGACCCAGCAGCTTAATTTCAGAGCAGGTGTCACACATGAGGAGACCGCCCATTTGCCGCGGGGCAGCTGGTGGATTCGAAACGCAAGCCTCAGGGTTGGCAGCGCAACTCCTGATAACGAGGCCACCAGAGCTCGGAACCTTCTGAAAACCTGCGTGTGGAAGCCCCGCCATCCCCTGGTGTCCAGGCACTGACCCACGGGGGCCGCACTGATACTCCGCTGCCTCTGCCGCAAGACTCGCAGCCGAGTGGAGAGTTTCTGCACCGCCACGACGAGGACGATGACGCTGACGACGATGTACCAGCCATAACTGGCCAGCAGGGCGCCCACTGCAAAGAAGAACACAGTCCTCAGGAGGCCAGCAAGCGCTAGTGGAGGAATTCTCCACAAAACCCAACCCAGAACGCGCTAGATAGCGGACGTGTGCGCGCTGTGCCCGCCCAGCGCCGGCAAGTTAATACGCCGGCCAGCAGCGCAGCGGCTCGCGTCGTGAGAAGGGACGGAACCATGGGGGGCGCGTGCAGCAGCCTCCGGCCGGCCTCCGAGCCGACAGGCACACACGGGGCGCGGGGACGCACATCGCCGCGGGGACGGAGGACACTCCGGAGGCCTGAAGGCGACCCCAGGCACCGCAACCCGGAAGGACTTGCTCCCTAAAAGAACCAGGCAGTAACACTAGCCAGCCGGGGGCCGGCCAGCGGCCACTGGGGTTCCCACCACCCCATCGGGCATGTCGACGGGAGGGAGGCCGGCCGGGCGGGCTGCACCGCGACCACTCACCGGTGACGTGCAGGAAGCGCAGCCCTTCGGTCTCCAGCGCCGGTCGGGCGAGCAGCCGTTCCCCATCCCGTTCCCCATCCTGCTCCATGGCGCCGCTGCGTCACAGCAGCTGCCGGCTTCCAGGCCGGTAGCGTCCACGTGGCATGCCGTGCAGAACGACAGCTCAACCAATCGTCGCCGAACGCGACTCTGAACTCGGCCTATTGCAGAGGGGCTCCGTTAGGAGGGCGGGGTCGCAAGCCAGGGTCAGCCTAGCGCGTGGGCGTAGCGTAGCGGGATCGGGCATGGTCGGGGCGTGGCTTGGGGGGTCAGGGCGTGACTTAACGGGGTCGGGGCGTGGCGTAGCGGGATCGGGGAGGGTTAGGGTTAGGGAAGCGTGCCAAAGACAACTTTTCTTTCACTTTTTTTTTTACTGTTGAGACTGCAATCTCTAGGAAGAACATCAGGCGACATTACTGACTGGCTTCAAGATTGTCGTCAACACATGCTAACTGAATGCTATGGATTATCACGGATTAAATTGTGAACCTATATAAACAATGTATCATGTGGAAGATTAATCCCATCACACCCCTGATTATGGAGGATTTTCCCCCACTGAGGGAAAATATGGGGTTTTTTTCCTCCACTCTCCCTTCCACGTTCACTTTTTTAAAAAATACTCATTGTTGCACAATTTCCTCCCTCTTCCCCGTCCCCCTTTCCAGTCCACTTTGTAATGCACCTCTTATTCCAGATTATTGTCATATACCTAATGCCTTATATTCCTTATATAAGTTCTTTCCTTCATCTGTTCCAATGCAGGCTTCATTATTCATCACTCTTTTCCTATTCTCCCCTGAATCCCCTATTCAGTTCTGTTATTTCTTGTGGGTGGAACCGAAGGAAGACTAGCAAAGCAGAATGTAAATTTAGAAACGCTAGAGCTGCTCAGGCCACTAGCCTGGAGGAACCCCCAAACCTTTGTTTTTATTAGCATTCAGAAACAAAGGAATAGTTCACAGAGAAATGGAAACATTAAGGATTACCTCATAGGACCCTGATGGACTGGGTACACAGATAAAAAACATACATTCAAGCAAGACTTGTTTGTATTCCTAAACTGTGCTTTCTCTCATTTTGCAACAACCTTATCATGAGCAGGAACATTTGTTTCTACTCTCACAAAAAGTCAGTGTCTAAAGATGTTTGGGAACTGCTTGTAATCTTCCTTCTCAAAACACCTCATGAGAGCTGCTTGAAATTTTCCTTCTGAAGACACCTCTGTGTGCAAGGCACACCGCCACATCCCAAGGATACAGCCCCTTATATTCTTTACCTCTTACAAGTTCTACTTTATAACTGGTGTTTTGCAGTATTTCTCCTTTTCTGAGATACTTCACTCAGCATAATGTCATCCAGGCTCACTGATGTTGTGTAATGTTTTATGAGTTCACGGATTTTCAGTGCCTTGTAGCATTCCATTATGTGAACATAACAATTGTTTGTTGCGGGCAGTGGGTTGCTTCCATCTCTTTAGTATTGAGAACAATGCAACAATAAACGTGGGTGTGCATATATCTGTTTTAGTGACAGCCCTGATTTTGATGTAAGGTAATTTCCCTAGAGTGTGTTATTTTACATGAGGTCAAAGGGAAGGAAAGTCCTGAGAAAGAAATTCTTGACCTACTACAGATGCTGAAAAGAACTTGGCTCAATAACAGACAACAGGCAGGCCTTGTCCTAGATTAATGTTTTTGTTAAGTGATTTCAATTCAAATATGACTCAGAAACCCTACAAACAATAGACCCTGTCCTATCCTATGCCACTCTCATCATCTCTGACACACTTGAGCCCATTGCTCCAGTTACTATGTCAATCCATCTCTTTAGGAAGTCTTCCTATCTTTTACTGACCCTCCATATTTCTAAGCATGATGTCCTTCTCCATGTAACAGCCTCGCCTCACTACATGTCCAAAGTTTGAGAGACAAAGTTATGCCATCTTTGCCTCCAAGCAGCATTCTGGCTACTCTTTCTCCAAGACACCTATGTTTGTTTTTCAGTTTATGAAATATTAAGTACTCTTCTTCAATACCACAGCTTAAAGGCATCAAACCTTTCATTTTTATTCATTGTACAATTTTCTGAAGAATAGCAGGTGACTGAGAAGACCATGGCCTGAATCAGGCACACTTTAGTCTTCAAACATTCAACTCTTTTAAGTATTTTGGAGAGGTCCCTGACAGCAGACTTTGCGAATGCAGTATGTCTCATAATTTCCTGATGGCTAGTACCAAAGGTGTTGATCATTGATCCAAGCAAGATGAAATCATTGACAACTTCAATCCTTTTTCAATCTATCATGATGCTGACTCTTGGTCCAGTGGTGAGGACTTTTATTTTCTTGATGTTGTGATGTAATCCATACTAAAAGCTGTACAGTCTTTGATCTCCTGAAGTCCTCCTGGTTTTCAGCAAGCAAGATTGTGTCCTCGGCATAATGCAGGTTGTTGATGAGTCTTCCTCTGATCCAGATGCCACATTCCTGTCCAGAGAGTCCAGCTTCATAAAATATTTTCTCAGCATATAGACAGGATAGATATGGAGAAAGGATACATCCCTGATGCACACCCTTCTTGATTTTAAACTATGCAATGCTGTCTTGCTCCTTTTGGTCAGTGACTTTGTGATCTAAGTTGAAATTTCACATGAGCACAGGAGCTGTGATGCTGGAGAATAGTGTTGAACATACCATGGACTGCTAGGAGAACAAACAGGTTCATCCTTGAGAGGGTGAAACCAGGCTGCTTCTTTGAGGTAAGGATTCGGAAGCTTTGTCTGATATACTTTGGGCATGTTGCAAGGAGGAACTAGTCCTGACTGGAGAGGGACATCATGTTTGGGAGGGTGGACGGACAGCACAAGAGAGGATCGATTCAGTGATTGGGGCCATAGGAGTAGTTGTGGTCAAAGGAGTAGTTGTGTCAGAGACAGCAAGGTTGACACAGGATAGAACAGGGTTTAGGGCTCTTACATATAGGATTGCTGTGAGTCGCAAGTGACTCGGCACATAACAACAGTAAAGCTTTCTGGGATTCCCATTCTTCTCAGTGTTAACAATCATTTGTTATGATCCACACAGTCAAGTGCTTTTGCATGGTCAAAGCATAAACAATCTTCTGGTATTTTCTGCTTTTAGCCAAGCTGACATCTGCAATGATATCCCTGGTGCCATGGCCTCTTCAAACTCCACTTGGTAGTTCCCTGTCAATGTATTGTTTTGGTAAATTTTTGAGATCTTCACCAATATTTTGCTTGCCTGTTATATTGGTACTGTTCTATAATGTCCATATTCTCTTTGGTCACCTTTCTTTGGGAATGGGAACAAATGGATCTCTTCTGGTTAGTCAGCCAGGCCACTGTCCACCAAATTTCCTGGCATAGACTAGTAAGCACATCCAGGGCTGTGTGTTAGTTGAAATAATTCCATTTATATTCCATTGATGCCTGGGGCCTTCGTTTTTGTCAATGTCTTCAGTTCAGCTGGAACTTCATTGACTCTTGTTTATACGATACTTGCTGAAATTTTTCAGTGTGAATGACTTTTTTGTTTTTTTAGTACAGGGTCTATATGTATTCCTTAAATCTTTTCATGCTTCCTAAATCTTTTAGGATTTTGCCCATAGCATCTCTCAGTGTTGCAAAAAGGCTTGAATTTTCCCATTCTTTCAGCTTGAGAATGCTGAGTGAGTTCTTCCCTTTTTTATTCTGACTCCAGCTCTTTGCACATTTCATTCTATTTTGTCTTCTCCAGCTACCCTTTGAAATCTTCTGTTCAGCCCTTCTTCTGTGGCATCTCTTCCCTTTGTTTTGACTTCTCAACACTCCTAATGCAATTTTCACACTCTCTTCTGACACTCATTTTGGTTTTTTCCTTTGTCTGCTTTGTAATGATCTTTTACTCTGTTCACAGGTGGTATCTTTGATGTCCTCTCACAGTTCTTCTGGTCTTCTATCACTGGTGTTCAATGCCTCAAACTTTTCTTGTGATTCTTAAATTCAACTGGGATAGACTCAAGTTCATGTTTTCGTAGCTGTGGACTAGTTTTAATGTTCTTCAGCTTCAATTTGTACTTGGACATGAGTAATTGATGGTCTTACAGTCAGTACTTGGGTCGATTTTGACTGCTGATATTGCACTTCTCCGATTCTTTCTGCAGATGTAGTCAATCTGATTCCTGTGCAATACATCCTGTGAAGTTTATAAACTTGCCTTTTGTGTTTTGTTTTAAATATACCTTTTAAAAATGTATTTTGCATGAATAAACCATTGAGCACACAAAATTCAATCACTGTTATCTCTAACCTCATTTCTGTCACCAAGTCCATGTTTTCCGACTACCATTTCTTCCTCACGGTTTCCAACCTTTTTTTTTAAAAAAAAATTTATTATTTTGTGTGTGTGTGTACTGTCAAATCAGACCTGGCTGGTACAGGAGAGATTGTCCCTCCTTCTCCAGCAGAGGATCTGGTGGATTCAAACCACACACCTCTGGGCTTGCAGTGCAGCTTCTTACAACTAGGCCACCAGAGCTCACAGGTTTCCAACTTTTGTGTTCCAATCATTAAGGAATGAATGAAATCTTCAATCTCCTCTTCGGCATCAGTTGTTGGTACATGTATTTGCATAATAGCAGATTAACTAGTCTTCTTTATATGCATATGGATAGTCTACTATCACAACACTGTACTGCAGGATGGATATGAAAATTGTCTTTTTACATATGAACAACAATAACATCAACATAGAGATCAGTTAGTTAGTTGACCTAGTGGACAGAAAGTGATGCTACCAAGCCAAAGGTGGGTGACTTTTAATCTGCAACTCTCAGGCCTATTTTTCATTGTTTTTATTCAAACATTATCTTCTAGGTCGTATAGCCCTTGTGTGGTCACTTGCCGTACAGAATTAACTTGTGGTTGCTGTGAAGCTGAACACTGTGACACTGATGTGTCAAATGTGAGAATGGTGACCCATGGGGGGCAGTGTTTGGTGGAGCTTCCCAGTTAAAACAAGCAGGAGTAGCATCCACTTCCGTAAATAGC